AAAAAAAAAAAAAAAAAAAAAAAAAAAGAATTATTGTTCATTTATTTACTTTTTTAAAAAATTACATCGGCTGCAGTGGCTCATGCCTGTAATTCCAACACTTTGGGAGGCCCAAGCAGGGGGATCACCTGAGGTCAGAGTTCCAGACCAGCCTGGCCAACATGGCAAAACCCCAACTCTACTAAAAATACAAAAAAATTGCCCAGGTATGGTGGCTCACGCCTGTAATCCCAGCACTTTGGGAGGCAGAGGTGGGTGGATCACCAGGTCAGGAGTTCAAAATTAGCCAGGTAATATTTTAAGATGGTGAAACCCCGTCTCTACTAAAAACACAAAAAAATTAGCTGGGCGTAGTGGTGGGCGCCTGTAATCCCAGCTACTTGGGAGGCAGAGGCAAGGAGAATCCATTGAATCTGGGAGGCAGAGGTTTGCAGTAAGCCGCGATCACACCACTGCACTCCAGCCCAGGCGACAGTGGGAGGCTCCACCTCAAAATAAATGAATGAATGAATGAATAATTAGCTGGGCTTGGTGGCATGCACCTGTAATCCCAGCTACTCAGGAGGCTGAGAATGGCTTGAACCTGGGAGGCAGAGATTGCAGTGAGGCGAGATCATGCCACTGCATTCCAGCCTGAACGACCAATTGAGACTCTGTTTCAAACAAAAAGAAAAGAAAAAATTAGCAAGCGCGTGGCTCAAGAGTGTAATGTCAGCAATTTGGGAGTCTGAGGAGGGAGGATCGCTTAAGGCAGAAGTTAGAAACCACCCTTGTTAAGATAGCGAGACCCTCCCCCTCTCAAAAAATAATTTTAAAAAATTAGCCGGGTATGGTGGCACCTGCCTGTAATCCCCGCTACTCAGGGGGTTGAGGCAGGAGGATCGCTTCAGCTGGGGAGGTCCAGGCTGTAGTGAGACGTGATGGCACCACTGCACTCCTGCCTGGGTGACAGAAGCGTCCTCGACTCAAAAAAACCTCAGGCTCTTTGCCTCCTTTTTTTTTTTTTTTTTGGGACGG